CAGTCTTTGAGCATCAAGCTCCCTGGAAATTAGTTCACAAGTGTTGTGATTCTGCAAAATTTACTCCAGGAATAGGCACCCGAAAAAAGAAGATAATATTACTTGAGACAATACAAAGTAAATCTCACTCGAAACAAAGAACAATATACAGAAGGCTTATTCCACAAAGTAATGACCAAATAAATGGTTTTTTTCATTCCCTATAAATTAACAATGCATTAATCAAATCACATGAAAATAAAAGAACAATGAAATCAGAAGAACTTGAGAGCTGCGAGGCCAATGCTAAAGAAGAGAAGAGATGGTGAGAGGGCATAGGCGGATGAAGGAGTGAGACTGCTGCTTCCTCCATCGTCAGAAGTTGGAGCTCCACCACCGGCGGTTGGTGTAAAAGGTCGGGTTGCATCGGACTGCGGTGTCTCAGCTGCCGGAGTTGGCTCTGGAACAATTGGAGTTGTCGCTGGCCCTGGAGACATCGCCGGTCCAAATGTACCAGCAGGTCCTGTAACAAACAAAACTCTTATCAATTTATCTTCCAAGCAACTAATTATGTGATTAATTTTAGGTAATGATGTGATTAATTGTTTACCAGGAGCAGCAGCTGGAGCAATATTGGCTGTAAGAAAAAAAGAAAAGATCAAACACAAAGTTAGATCATTAATTCAATCATGTATATAGATATGTAATGTATAGAGAGAAATTTTATTTGATTTATTTACCTTTGCATTGAAGTGGGACTCTAGGCATGTTACAAGCACGTGGAAGAGATACGGCGGTTGTACGGTTAACCGGAATATTAAAAGGAACAGTTCCGGTGACAATAAGACAAAGACATCCCATTCCTCCGGTGGTCAATGACCTCAGCGAGTTACAACAATCAGACGACGGCGAAGTTCCGTTGCTGCTACTGTTGGTTAAGAAGCCCATACAAGGACTCACCGTGGTCATCATAGACGGTGTGCATTGGCTAAGTGGTTGTTGCTGGCTGCGAACCGGCAAAGCTAACACCGCGATTAATGCAACCACCACGACGGTTATAACAGGAATCTTCGACATTTCTTGATCGATTAAAGCCTTGGTTATTGTTTTTTTTTTGAGGTTTGTGTTTGAAATGTGTTAATGTTTTGGTGTTGAGAATGAAGCAATTGTGTGATTGTTTTTATAGGTAGACAAAAGTGGAGGGAAGAAAGGGAGTGAGTATAGGTCAACTACTATAACTAACTATGTTCTTTTTTTCGTTAATTGGGTCGTTGGTGGTAGTGAGTTAGCCAATGGGATGCATCCACGTGTAAGGAGGATGTGGTGGATAGATTGTCTGATTAGTCCAAGATTGTATTAGATGAACCACTCTTCCACGGTTGTTTTGTTTTGGTAACTAAACAAGATATCAAAAGAGATTCCATTTAACTTAAAGTTCATTAATATCTTGTTGAGTTAAAGACAAAATGTTCAGCTTGTAAAACAACATTTACACATGTTTTCAAGAATGGAAATGATTTTGGTACGTTTGATCAATGATATAAAAAATCATTAAGACTGGTGACCCAATGCCTAGAACGCCTAATCGTAGTCTAGACGATTTAATAGGCGGTCTAAACGTTTTACAAAAATACATAATATATTAGATATATATGATAAAATATATAAAAACCATAATTTATAACTAACAATATTTATATTCATCATTTTATAGCCAAATATATAACATTTTACGATTTATATATGCAAAAATTTATATTATTTTATTATTATAATACCATAATATTTTTTTGTGGCAAAAGCGATAATCGCCACGGTCTATAGGGGCCTAGCGCCGCCTAGGCGAACACTGCCTATTACTGTCATAATATCCAGTGCCGTGCCAAAGACAGTTATAATTTTATCTTGATTTCCAAATCCGTTAAAATACACAAACCAATAACCCCTACTAAAACTCGTACTCAGCCATATCTTATTCTGGTTTTTTATTAGTGTTATATTTCTGTAGAGTAGATAGTTGAACTTTCCTTTAATTTGAAAATACGGCAACCATATGAATAAAATAACTGACCATTGAATCAAAAATCAAAACCAGTTTTCAAACAATATGTTTAGTCTAGAACGTCAAAAGACTTGTAAAAGATGATTTTCATATCTGAGATTTTTCGACACCTGTTAAGTCAAGTCAAATAAAAATAAAAAAAGAATACAAAACAACTACTGTATTATATATAGTTGTAATTAACAAAACTCCGAAAACCTTAATCAAATAATCATGTTAGTAGTTCAACAACCAGCCTAAACCGTCACAAAGACCACCGACCCAAAACAAAAGGAATCAGTTCTGTTCATAAACACAAAACACTTAAACATAAAACTGTTAGAAAAGTAGGAAGAGTTGTTCACCCAAATTGAGCCACCTTCCCTTTGTCCCTTTTTTCATTTCCTTCCTTATTTATACCCCAAAGCTACACAATAGTATTCAATCAAT